TATTATTATTTTTAAATTTTGCTCTAGGGCATATGTACTTACCAGAGAGAGGCAGAAAGAGGGGAGAGAGAGGGAAAGTGTGAAAGCAAGAGAATAGATCTGGGGCTCGAACTGCAGTTGGCCATGTGGGAGTCCAGCACCTTAACCACCAAGCCACCTGCTGGCTCCTGGCTCTATTTTAAAGAAGAAAACTGAGGTTAAGAAATGTGCATAAAGGCCAGCCTCATGGCCTAGTGGCGAAGGGAGCTGGATCCTACATGGCTAACTGTGGTTCGAGTATCAGTCCCGGAAGCTTGAAAAATACACCAGGTGCATGTGCAAGCACCCCTAGTTCCGACAGCATAGAGTCATGGGGACGGATGGTGGCCTGACCAAGCCCTATGGGGAGGTGCTGACTCCCTCTCCCTGACTCCTTTTCTGTCTCTCTCTGGTAACCATGTATACCTGCAAGCTGAAAAAAGAAACAGAAAGAAATGTGCGTAAAATGATCAAAAAGTAGACTCTGAAGTAGATGAGGAAGTTCGTTGCTCAGACCAACAAGCTATCCGCTCATCTGGCATCCTGTCAAGGCCTCTCCCACTCAAAGCTTTATTAACGCACCGTTGTCGTTCTTGGTAGAAAGTGGTGACCAAGAGTGTGTGCTCTGAGGTCAGGCCACTGAAGGGCAGGCCGAGTCTGTCCATTTCCGCACTGTGACTTGGGGCCATTGCAGACCTCTCCTCCTCCTTCCCCATCCGTACAGTGGGGCAGGTGCAGCGCTTGCCATCTGTGGTGGGTGGGTGTGAGCTGAGACAGGCAGCACCAAGCCTTCGGGCAGAGGGAAGCAGGGCCTCTGCAAATCAGTGCTTACTTCTCTTTGCTCCATTTTCCCTAACCTTTAAAGTGCCTTTCTCTAGGTGTGTTTGTTTTGAAGAAGCACGTTCCTTATCGGCAGAGCGGCCTGTGGTTCGATCTCTTCTGTCTTGCTTTCCTGCCCGGCAGACTTTCCGTAACGTCAGTGAGCTTCTCTGCCCATTTAAAGTCATATTAGAGCTTTGGCGCGCTTAATTCCATGGACTTGGCTGAAAGTCATGGTCACAATTAACCTCCTTGTCTTTTAGGAAGTTTTTGCCTTAGGGAATGTGTGCTTGTGAGGTTTGCGGGGGAAGAGACAGAAAGAGACAGTGAGAGGAAAATGCAATCCCTTCTCCTCCCAGGACCTTGGGCATACATGCACATGTGCCCGGTGTGACTTTAAAGCCACGGGGTTTGGGACTTAAACTGTAGTCAGCCATGTGAGAGTCCAGCAACATGACCACTAGGCCATCTGCTGGCCCCAACAATTAACCTCTTGTGCTGCCCCCATGAGACCTGTGTCTCTCCCAAGGCCTGTCTCTGGTTTTCTTGAGGCCAGTCATCATCAGCTTTGGTGCCAGGGGTCTACACGGAAGTGACTCCCTGTGGCGGGGCATCTGGCTCACTCCTCGACTCTGGAAAAGATCTGGGTCTGAGCGATGTGATCTAAGGACCAAAGTGCACCCTAGGCGTCCCCGACTCCTCACTAATTGAAGTGGCTTTTCTGTCAGAGTGTGAAGGACACTTCACTGATGCAAATAAGGCTTTCGGTTTGTTGGTTTCACATGGTAGAAGATTGGCATTTCTCTCTAATGGGTCAAGAGATAGGCTGGTGAGGCTGACAAGGCCTTAAAGACAGTGTCCCATGGCTGGAGCTGTTCAGCGTTGAGACTGTGTCATCAGAATCGTTCTGCCATGAAGGGCCTTGTTTTCAGGATCTTGTTCATTCTCTCCACTTGAACCATCTTGTCTTCCTGTAGGGGATCCCTGACTGAATGTGAGCTCATGAGACTTACTGTCCTGCGTTTCTGGTATGGGTCGGGGAGGACGCTGCCTTAGCTCTCTCTGTGCCTCTCCT